GGCCTTGCCCCCGATGGTCTCCCGGCCTGAGCCCGAGGGCGAGGCCATGGACGCCGAGCTCTCGGTGGCGCCGCCGGGCTGCTCGCACCTGGGCAGCTTCAAGGTGGACAACTGGAAACAGAACCTGCGGGCCATCTACCAGTGCTTCGTGTGGAGCGGCACCGCGGAGGCCCGCAAGCGCAAGGTGAGACCCCGCCAGCTCCGCGGCCTGGGCTGGTCCAGGACACCCCCCTCTTTCTGCAGCGCGGGGCGGCACGCGGGGATTAGGGGTCTTGGGGGCCCCGATGGGGGTGGGGAAGGAAGGGCCTGCGACCTTCCCGCCGCCTCCCGGGGCTGCTTGCATTAGCGGAGGGGAGGGGCAGGGGCGTTCTCCTTCCCCACCCCCCCCACCTCCCCCTCTGGACGCGGAGGGTGGGGACGGGGGAGGGCGAATGCAAACTGGGAGGGGGGATTCTGCCACCGGGTTGCGAGGGCAGCTTGGGGCTGCAGGAGAGGGTTTCCAGGGTTCCAGGAATCTTCCAGGACTGGGAGGGGATGGAGGCGCCGGGAAAAGATAAGAGAGGAAGACCCCCGGGCCTGGGGTGATCTGTGGCGGGTCACCCTGGCCAACCGTCTTGAAGGCTCCATGACATCCGAGAGTCCATTCTTGCAAGTCCGGGCTCGGATCCCAGGACTGGGACCAGGAGTCTGTGCCCGGGACCTGGGTGGTTAGGGTGTTCCTAGGGTACTGGAAAGGGTACCCCCCCAGGGCCAGGGTCCACAGGGAGAGACTGGGCGAGGGCGTCCCTTTTTTCCTCTGGTTCAGTTGTGGAATGGAAGGGGTTGGGGCGGGGAGAGAAGGGCGGGCGGGGACGAGCCAAGCGAATCCTCTAGCTGTGGAGAGGCGCGTCGCCACGACCACTCAGGATTTGTGTTGTAGCTACGGAGAAGTGAATTGAAGAAAAAAAATTTTTTTTGGCTGATGGTAAAGGTGGGGCTTGGAGCCTCTGCAAAGAGGAACCATTGAGGTAGTCACAGTGATACCATTGTTTTTTTTTTTTTTCTTCTTGCAATTGTGTACATCCAAGCAATTAAGCGAATTGATATTTGGAAACCAGAAAATGATATTATTTCTTAAACTTTTTTTTTAATAATTCAACGCAGTTTTGCAAATGACAACCCTAACTTGGGAGTCGTTATCAATTTCCACCTTGAATAGCACTTTGTAATGGGAAAACCAATAGATCTGCTGGGTTTGTAGGCCTTGTTAAGTGTTCTCTTTCTTTTTGTTTTTTGATAGTAATGATGCTGGGCATAGTTATC